TTGTATCAGTGGTTGATTAATATCAAATAAAGTAAAACTATTAGAGAATGACATTGTTTCTATATATTTATTACCTTTCATATCTCATAAAATTGTTAATTTAATAAGATGTTGTATGATGAAGTAGTTGTTAATCAATAAATATAACTTTAATAAGATAATATCATTTTATTACAACTTAATTGAATGGATTTTATTTTTTACAATACAGTACAACAGAATCAAATATTTTTTTATTTATATAATGAAATGCGTCAGACTTCCTTATTTATCTTTAGTTATATGTTTATTTTCATGAACTATCAACATCAAACTTTTTTGATTTAATTTATATTCGATGTCGCCATATCTACACCACTTCTTATAAATAACTTAATCTTTGAGCTTTTTTAACCATTTTTAAGGTTGTTTGTTAATTAAATAATTTAATGATATTCTTATTCAAAAAAGAATATACAACATCAAAGAACTATTTTCAATATCTAAATTTAAAAGCGTTAAGTTTTGGTGAAAGATGACAAATTGTTTTTATGTTGCAACTTGATAGAAGTCTTATATTTTTTTATTACAAACCTTTTCTGCTTCAAGCGAAAACAATAATATAAATAGGGATTATTCTAACACCCAAAAATAGAATCGTTAATAATGAATTCTGGGGTACTGTTGTTAATTCACGACGATCCATTTTTCTCGTTGAATATGTTTTTTTCGTAAATAGTTTCACACTATTAGAGTTGCTTGATTGATGAAAAAGAATCCAATCAAATCGACTGAAAAGGTAGAATTGTCATCTTTTACCGCCAATTTAGTAATTCCAATTTTAGAATTGAAACATTGTATGACCTGATTGTTTTTGTAATAAATGAATTGTGGAATAATTTAACTTTGTGTAATTTTTCTTCTTTTTATTTACCCATTAAATTTCGGCGTTTCTTTGTATAAAAAACCAAATTTGCTTTTTTATATAAATTAAAGACTTTGGATTAACCAAAAGGCAAATATTTGTCGTAGTGTTACGAAAAAGTCTCTTGTTTATTCTAACGTTGTTACAATTGAATTCCACCTTCTCAAATCATCTCTTTAAATTATAATAATATAATTAAAGAATCATAAATTATAGTTTTGATTAACACTTTTGGTCAAACAAGTTTTGACTTGCTGGTTCGTTGGAACTTCCAAAAAACTCTTTCAATTATTTTCTACCAAAAATATTTGTCGAAGAAAAAAAGATATTGGAACGCATTTCCTCTTTATTCAAACACTGTCTGTTCATAACGAAAGTCGTGGAATTCCCTATTTTGGAGCTTTTGAAAAGTTCATTTCGTTTAGACGACCGGAGCGAGATTTGGTTAAAACAGAGTTATATTTTTGAAAAACTATGCACCAAAAATAGAAACTAAAAATTCCTCAAAATAGCCCCAACGAAGATATTCTTGGCTTGTGGACTTGTCAGTTCTCGAGCGAGTTCTTCAAATATATAAAACTTATTCAAACAACTTCAATTAATAAAAAGAAATTATCATAAAAAATAAAAAAATCCGATCAATTGAAAACGAGTGGAAAAAAAATCGTTGTTAGTCGGTAAAACAAAACACAATATTTAACGAATAAAGAAGAATTTGACCATTGACGACCATATAAAAACAATCTCCAAAACTTATAACCCAACAACTCACACTCAAATGCAAATGCAATCAACACTCTACAAAAAAATCGAAAGCTCAGTCGACTCTATTGAAAAGTCCACTCAATCCAGTCTTAAGTTACACACTGAGAGTCGCATTAGAAGTGATTTTAGAAATATAAGAAACTATCAAGTCTACGAACAAGGTGTTATGTTAGCACTTCTTAATAGCATGTTTGACATTACTATTAAGCAACCATTGAAGAAGGCCAATGTCTTTGAACAGATAGTTAGAATTCAGTCAATAGTCGTCGAAAATGACGTGATTGACATTGAAGAGTTCTGTGACCAAAGGTGCAAAGAAAGGTTTGCCCTTGACTTAAAGAATGGTGTTCCAATGAAAACAGCCAAAAGAAGAATCGAAACGAATAGAGTCAATGAAATGCTCTTTGTCTTGGCAGACTTTCTGACTGAGTACTCATTCGAATTCACAACAAAAGTCGTCAATGGAAAAAAGAAAACATTAAAAGGAGAAACAGTCAAGAAAATAGCTTCAGGGAACTTTGTTATTAATGAAAGAGAAATAAGAACTAAAGGAAAAGAAATCAATAAAAAAACACTTGGTCTTCTTGGAAAACAGGCGAAGGTAGTTATCCCAAGAGGTACTATCTCGGTCTTCTAACTTGTAATTCATCCTTTTCATTGTTTTTTGTTTAAGTTAAAATACAATCATTATTTGTGTGTTTTGATTACAATTGATAAAATGTTGTTAAATCAATTTATGTAAAAGTGTTAAATTTAAAATGGAAAACAAAAAACACTTAAGAAGTAAATTAAATGAATTGAAATTATTGATATAAAGTTTTTATTTAGTTTATAGTGTACTCACAGTTAAATTGTACACAAGTCTTTGTTTTCTTTAACCTTAGGAATATAAACAATTTAACCACGCTAGTACCAAAACGATATATCTTAAAATGGAACTACGTTTGAAATACAATTACAAAAATATACAATTAATAAGAAAGAAAAAAAATGTAATCATTTAATATATAAAACAACACCAATTGTGTTAAATTTGTTTGTTTATTTACAAAATAAATACTGTAATTGTTAATTAAAAAAACAATGCATACCATTAAAATTTTTTAATTTGTCAATAAAAATTGTTGTATTGTGTTTTGGTTGAATGATATTGAATCAAACATGTAATATTCAAAGAATATTTCATTATGTATTTTCAATGACAATGTATTACTTTTTTTTGTTAAAAGGTCTTATTATTTATAATAAATAAAACGTTTATAAATTGTGTGATTTTATAATTACATTTATTTAAATAAAGTTTAATTTGATGTAAACAAACATCACATTCGATTGTTAGACAGGAATGTTGAACAATTGTGTCATTATCATATTTTGACATAAATGTCACTTCAAACCAAATAAAACAACAACACTTAAAACTTAAAAAAAATATTTGAATAATAATAACAATACAAATGAAAAAGAAAAAGAAAATAACAACAAAATATCATCTTAATTGCTATGTTTTGTAATAATCTTGGCATCGAAAATAACCCTATTTATAATTAATAATTCAAAAACAGATAAACAGCACCAGAAAATTGTCGTTCAAGTATTTTTATTCTATTTTTTTGTAAAATTTTGGGTTTAAAATTATTTTTTATTATTTTTGGTGTTTTTGGTTTGAAATTATCAAACTATACAATAATTTATTTGAATTATAAATTAATTATAAAAATATTACACAAGGCCAAGTTTTACATAAGGCAGAGTGACAATGTTGTATAATTATATATACAATTTTTTAGTTTGTTTAATACTAAAATGAAAAGTATACGACAATTTTTTGGTGGTCTTTGGTCAACAAATCTAAATAATCATTGGAACTAAATAAACCAATTGTATTTCACAAGAATAACAAAAAAATGAGAAAACGTCTATGTTTCAATTAAAAAATTAAGTTTAGTATATTATAATTTTAATAACCTATAAATTATACAAATTAACAAATTTCAATAAAGTCATTCCGAATAAGTGTGCAACTTTATTTTTTCTTTGTTTTTTACTCACAACAAAGGTGAAACTCTATTTTTCAACAATAACAAAAACAATAACAAAAATGGAATTAGGTTATAAATCAACATAAAATATAACTCGATATTTAAATGATAAGTTCAACTGCTTGTTCTAATAAAAAACATTAAAAATCCAGAATTTTAATTGTCATACAAAACGAATAAAACATTGTTGTATATCGATTGTGGATGGAACAAATGATAAACATCTCGTTTATAATAAGAAAATAATGAGACAAGCCAATTCGTGTGATCCAAAGAGACTCTTTCGCTGCAAAATTACAATAAACAGAAGGCAGTTGAATGGTGCAACCCAAAAAAATAATTGAGAAAAATTGTGCAACTTTAGTTATAGTTTAGTTATAGTATTTTAATTATAGTAATAGTTTTAAAGAAATTTGTTTGTGTTTTTTGTTTTGTTTCTAAAAACATATAATTGTTTTATTATAATTATACTATAAACAAAGTTGCACTGACACGTCAAAGTCGCACGGTTTTAAGAATGACTTTACTCAATAAAAGAATCAAGAAGTATATTAATATTTATAGTAGATTAATAAATAATAAATTTAAACATTAAAAGAATCGACTCACTTAGAAGGAAATAGCATCTTGTCCACACTCACCCTTGCATGTCTGGCATTCACAGCAAGCATCAGCATTGACTACCTTGCACTTGTCGCCCTGGACCTCAAGGACAGCGCATGGGCAAGCAGAGACACAAGCTCCACATCCGACACATTTGGCTTCGTCAATTGTTGGTGGCATGAGAATGAGAGAGAAAGATTGTATTTTTCTTTTTATAGTAAAAGCGTTTTAAATTCCACATTCGTAAATAATTTTTGACAGTTCCCGTAATCGTGAAAAATCGGGATTCTATCAAAAGTCGCCCTCTTTTTTTTAGTTCTATTGAAATGGAAACTGTCTTTCATTTTTTTTTTCAATTGAGAAAACTATTTTATTATTACAATTAATAAATTTATTTACTATTTTATAACACTTTGCACATGAAATAAAATGAAAATAATTTTTTTCAATCTTTGTTAATTAATAATTTTTATATTATATATATATAATTTGAGTATACAAACAGAAGGTCAATTTCCAATTAAAACCCTTTTATTTTAACACAGAAACTCCATTTGAAATAAACTATAATAAAATTATTTGTAAACAATTCAAATTGTTAATAATTTCAAAAAACTTTTCAAATGTTTTTCTTGTCGATCAGAACCGAAAAAG